ACATATACTATAAATACATTATATACACCCCATCATATTTTTAAACACTGTCAGTTTTGTAAGCACCTGTAAACCAATACCGTCAGTAAAACAGAATTATAGTGATCAGACTGATTTTTGGAGGATAATGCTAAAACAACGATTGACTCCACATAAAATGTGTTTAAATAAAGTCCTGTGTCAGTTTGGAACAGTTTTTTTTTTGTCGTACGTCACTCAGGTGAAACCACATTAACCAGTGAGTCATGGCTGCACATAGACAACAACGAGACATGACTAACTGTGCTTAGATTCACTTACGCATTTCTAATGCTAGAAAAGGCGCATTTGCATGTTAGCACAGACATTTTATGACCTCTGTTATATTGCTGGTGACATCTTTAGAGTTAACCCCGTCTGTAATGTGATGGGGAAAAAAACTTTACATTTAGCAAGACTGTTACCAGAGACCAATATGCTACGTTAACATTTTCCACTTTATTGCATTAAGCTACTAACAAATAAGTATTGACACTGGAAACATTTACCCGCTATATGAATTCACGGAAGATTCACTTTGTTTTCCAAAAGGTTAAACCTGATGTTAGGCTACAGACCTGTACATTTATGTTCAACGACTATTATTAAACGCATCGCTAGCCTTACAAGTGTTTAGCTACAATAGTGCCCGTTTCCATTTGAACACGACAGCTTCCGCACAAAACCAGCGGTTTGAAACTTATAAAATTCAGGATAACTTAGTTTGGATAATTGTTTCCCAGGCCTCGATCCATGCATCATTCCCAGACAGCTCCTTGAGACCCAGCAGGGGCCCTTCAGTTAAATATAACACCGTAGACTCACAGCGACTCAACTTTAAGAAAACAAGCTATTTGCTAACTTTTAAGTGAACTTCTGGAGCAAGTTAGCGCACTTTTCGCAAGAGTTGTCAACTTTTCCTACCTGCACAGAATCGGCGGCCATCTTGGTTTCGCCTTTGAATCAAATCCTACTGGGAGCGAGGAAGGGAGGTGGGACTCCAAAAACAAGCCTTGTTTTAAGTTTCCCTCTCTGACGACAAAAAGACGTGATTATTTCGACCAAACCGTCGGTCATCTCGGGTGTATGGGGCTTTCCATGTCGTCTTAACACTTCTTTTACGCCGTCACACCGTCCTGGAAGGTGGACTGGCGCTCACAAATAAAAAGCTGCAGCATAAATGCTGTCCCAGAGCAGTTGGAGAAAGAGGCGGTGGTTACAGTGGAAGCGTCCGCCCAGACGAGCTGTAGTGCCGCTGCCGAGCTGCTCTCGGTCCGGACAGTGAGCTCACACACGTGATCCAAAACTTCATCTGGGCCTTACCTCATGCTAATAGAGTGGACACAAACACTTCACCTCAGCAGGCCCTGGGTGCTTCAGCCGGAGGCTAAGTTGTGTTAAAATATAGGATATGTACAGAGAAAGTACATCTTTTATTACAGCTGGAGAATCATAATTTATTAGATATTACCATTTTATCAATAGTGGAAGAAGAAAAAAATATATTTCACTTTAGTAGGCTACAAAGTCCTATTTTTAAGCACAAAAGTATTAGTAGTGACATTTACTGTATATATAGTAGCAACATGGAAAAATATTCAATTACTAGTCAAAAACATTCAGAATTTTACTTATGCATAAGTATATAAATATTTTGAGTACTTGAATTAGGTATATCAAAAGGAATAATGGCCCCTTCCAATATATGCTACTAGTCACAAGTTTTGGAACACCCCCATTTTTCCCCCTGTTTTTAATGACAATGAACCAGTTCAAAGCTAAGAAATCACCAGAGGTAAAACAAAGAAAAAAAGTCACCCCAAACTAAAAATGTATGTACATTTAATGTAAAACAAGCCTTTTTCAGGGATCAAGTCATAGCTTAACTTACATTTTTCTGCAGCAGTGCAAGTAAATTAGGCCTTGTGAACTGATGCAAACAACTCCTACAGGTGGCCCAACAACAAATCTATATCAAGGCAGTGTTGGAAAACACCGTTACTACAAGCTCTGAAGCATTATTTAATTTGGAATAAGTAATTAAAAAGGAAGACAGACCTTTTCAGGGATTTTATTGTCAATTCACCATATGTGCAGGACATACAGAAAATTGAAATACTGTTTCTCTCTCACCTAGTATTGGGTGCCATAAACCAATACTGTCCAGCACGGCGGACTTTCCAGTTAAAGAGTGAAAGCAAAGCAAACCACAGGTGCAACACATTCATGGGAACTTTTGCAACAGTGGTATCTATCACAACGGTGTTTGATTTTAGTTGTAGAGAGAATGCCACAAGTGTTTGACTGTTGAATTGTACTAATACTAACTGGTAAACTGGAGGGGTTCTGAAACATTGGGACTATGGTGTATATTTATAAATATTATATTTTTGCTTACTATTTTTGATGCACTAATATGTAAGCAGCACATTATAGTTGGTCAATGTGGATTCAGCTTCAGTTTCTTATTGTTGGAGAGTTTATTTTATAACATTGTATTGTATTTTGGACAGTGATAATATGTTTTTATGTAGAATGTTAATTTGCAAAGTCAGTCCTATGCGGTAAAAATACATTTTCCTCTGAAATGTAATGGAGTTGAACTATCATAAAATGAAAATACTAAAGTAAAGTACAAGTAACTCAAAATTGTACTTGAGTAATTGTACTCACGACTGCCTGACTGAGTAGTGATGCATCAATAGACTATGTAAACAGCAGTTTTGTATTGCACTAGAATAAAATTTGAGGACTTGTATGAAACACATTAGAAGAAGAATATCAGCATCATCAGGGATCCCGTTTATGTTGTAGCTGGTCTAGATTAGATAGTTTCAGCTACTTTTTTTTTTTTTTTTTTTTTTTTTTTTTTTTACAGCTGGTTAATGTAATTTCTAACAAAGGACAATATTTTACATGTATTTTGTACTGGTAACTACAGCTGCGTGTAAATATAGTGGCGTAAAGGGCTTCTGAAATGTATAAAGTAGCTCAAAGTAGGGAAAAGCTCAAGCAGAGTACAAGTACCTCAAAACTGCTGTACTGCAAGAGAGCATAATTCAAATCTGAAGGATCGTGCAGACACTTACAAACCTGCCAAGCTGCTAAGTAAACATTAGCTGCCACACTAAATAATAGTCACAGTTTACTTTTGAGTTGCCAAGCCAGATAGATCAGGAAGAGCTGCTCAGACAAAACCATAGGACAAACACTGCTTAAGTACTCTCCACTGTGGCCAGGGCCTGACATGTCACACCTCAGTGAGAAGAGCACCTGCTGCATTACATAACCCACAGGGACACAGTCATCACAAGCCATATGTCTCAGATACTGGGCGCTCTGTGCTTACGGCACAATATCACACACATTTATCAGTGTGGACAACAACACTGGCTCCTTGCTCATAAACTGAGCATCGTCCATATAATAAAAACAACAGAGGTCTTGTTGGGTAGACTAGTAAGTGTTGTATTCATGTTAAAATCCATGGGGATGACTACTCTCTTTCTGTTTCCATTGGGACATGTTAGTTTTGTCTTTCATACATAGAACAGCATACTGTAGCTGCAGCTGTGTTATTATCCACAATAAACATAATAATTATTGCTATGATTAAGGGCATAATTAGGCAGGGAAGTATTACTGCTGAAGCAAAAATCAAAGAAGTCCTAATGCATAATGTTCTGTTGATTTTTAAAAAGTATGGTATAGATGTTAGTGGTGCACAGGGAGACCTATAGTACCCATATGAAAGTAGAAGTATGTGATAAACAATGATAAAAATAATTTGCAGGGTAACATACTCCAGAGTTGATGTTCCTGGTCAAGTCACAGAGTTTGGAGTGACAGTGCTCAGGGCCTCTGTTGCATGTTGGTTTATATATAGAGAAGGTGCATGTCAGTTATGCTGACTCAGTTTAAATTTGATCATAAATCACTCAGTGGTAGCTACATGCTGGAATAAGTCCTGCAACAAGGTGTTTTTACAGATTTCAAGGTGGGGGGTGAGGGTGGGGTCCTCCATATGTCTGAGCCAGAGGGCCATAACCAGGAATCTGTAAATGGAGAACAATCTGAGATTAATGGGGATGAGTCCAGTGGCTGATGACAGTCCAGGGATTATCCAAGAGCAGGGATGAGGAACGCTGAGTGGCAGCACTAGCTCATATAAACCCACCCTGGCCTCTGGTGATTCATCTCACTTTGTAGAACTAGGTTTCAGCAGCAGGACTGTGACTACCACAATAAGGAAAAATGTTTAGAACACACATACACAAATTGTTCAAATATAAATAAGGTGTATTTTACCAACATATTTACTTCATTACAACCACTAACAAATTAAGAGAAGATAGTGTGAGAATAAGGAAAGGATGTGACAGACGGAGGTAGGAGCAGAGCAAGCAGCTCTTTATCTCCCTCTGCAGGAGTGAAATAACCCATGTTGAATTTTATCTGGCTTTACCACTCCCTGCTCTGCTGTACCTGGCAATGATGATGCACAAACATTTGTACCGAGTTAAGAAACACACATGCATTTCTGGTCATTTTTTTATGTTCTGTGTATTTGTTTGGCAATCAAAAGGTGAAAACAGTCATGGCAGTCATGTTGATTTTATGTTCCACCTGACTAAGCTTCAACACAAGGATAGCTGGGTGTAGAGAAGGCACACAGAAACTCAGCAGTACTCTACATCCTCAGATGAAAAGGAGTACCTATTCATTTGAATATTTCAGGAGTTGTGATGTCACAGTACATCTGGGGGAGAAATTCTGTGCAGCTCTTTCAGGCCTTCACACTAATACATCTTCTTGATGAGGCAGAGGTGACTTTTCCGACTGTTAGCATTTTTATCGAGGGGAGACAAGAACCTCTGCCAATTACAGGCCACAGGAACTGGAATAAACCCAACCTTCAAGACAATGAAAGACTTCACAAGTTATGTAGAAAACTGCAAATAAAACTGTGACATTTAAAAGAACAGTTTGACATTCTGGGAAATATGTGCATATTTATTTTCTTGCAGAGAGTTTGAGGAGAAGATTAACCCTACTCTCTCATCACTCTTAAACATACGTAATTCTGCAGCCAGTTAGCTTAGCTAAGCTTTAAAACTGGAAACGGGCAGGAACAGCTACTTTTGGTTTGTTTGAAAGGTAGAACAATCCACCAGCCACCACAGTAAAGGTCCTTGATGAACAAACTGTTTTGTGTTTAATCCAGGGTCATGTGACAGGCTAACCATTTCCCTATTTCCTGTCATTATACTGAGCTAGGCTAACCATGTCCTGGCTGTAACCTTATATAAACAGACTCTAATGAGAGCGCTATCCATCTTCTGATCCAGCCCTCGACAAGAAAGCAAATAAATAAATGCTGAGGCTTTTGCTTTAAGAAGCAACGTAGCATATTAGCGGATGCTCATGTTCATCTGCTTCTACAATGGAAAAAAGGCACAAATTTAAATGAAAGTGGTAAAAGAACTGTACAACGTGATAAAATGCCCAGGCAATTACTTTAAAAGTGTGCTAATGGAAAAAGGGGTTAATATTGTACTGAAACCAATCTGCCTGGAAATGAAATGGACTGAAAAAGTAGTAAATATTTACAGCAGCAGCATCTTCACGGTAAATTTTACACACTTCAGTAATACGTGCAAATGTGTCTTTCATTACCCACAAAAAGCCTCTGGGCAAAGCTACACATTAACGGGAATCATCAAAACAACACGTCAATTGCAGTATAAAACATACGCACTTGCCTCAATGAAGTCCATAGTCACAGGATGTTTATTTCATAAAAACCTCAGAATTTCTCATCCCGGCCCAATAATACATCACAGTAGTCTTACACTTAAAATCTCTAAGTTAGTGGTGGTGGTGAGGCATGGGGATGTTGTCTGGCCATGGAAAACGTCACCATCAGTACATACAAAATACAACCATAGCAAAGAGCTAAAATACATGAAAACACAATCAAACAGTACAGAGCCAAAGAAATGTTTGGTCTGGTAAGTGAAGTCAATCAGGAGTCAGGGTTTGATCAGCTGCTGCAGAGGACGTGTCCCACCACGTGGCAGCAGAGGCCTTTGTCATGGAAGTGAAAGGGAGTGAAGGCCTGGGAGCTGCAGGGAACACAGCCTGCTGATGAAACATGAGCTCTTCGTCCAGTTGGCATGGGTGTGAATAACAGAGCTGTCACCAGTCTGACCGCTGCGTCAGAGGCGGGTTACTCTATTACTCTCACGTTCCTTCTTTGTTTCCTCTCAGAGTGCACAGCTTATCCTCTCCAAACTCTTCTAGTGATGTGTCTCTTTAGTTTTTGGGGTAGATTTTCTCATAGAAGAAGTTTTGTGCCAGCAGGTAGAGCTCTCCGTCTTTCTCTCTGACAGCGTGTGCCCTGACGAACTGGAACTGCTCCAGTGCAAACTCATAAAACTCATTCTCCATCTTCCAGATGGCTGACTGCTGCAGCTTGGCGATGGACTCCTTTGTGGGCGGCTTCTTCTCGCTGGTTTTCCTCAGGTGGGATTTCTTCCCTGTGATGAGGGAAGAAGGGGGTTTAAAAGAGTCCGGGTACATGTGTGACATATTACAAGCACCTGCAATTGGTACACCACAAAACACAGTATTCTGACATGCAATACAAAGTCTCCTTGTTACCATGTATAGAACCAGCAAGTTAAATAAAATTTACTGTGCTTCAGAGGTGCTGGTACGTGGCTTTTGGCAGTGGTGGACGGAGCCATGATGTTTGCTCTTTGTGCTAAGCCAAGCTAATTCACTGTATCATCCAATTCTCTCCAAGAACGTGAATAAGCATATTTTTCCACATGTCAAAATTTAAGTTAGTTGAATGTCAATGCGACAAATGAAATAAAGATTACATTATAAAGGTTGTGTTAATTTGACACAGCTTTCAGTCCTGTATGATTAGTTCTATATTTCTCTTTAGGCAAGGGCATCACTTAAAGCTCAGAGTGAGACTGCCAGTCAGCAAAAACTTTCTAATGTCACAAACCTGGCAACCCAAGTAATAAATACATAATTATGAAGGACACTACGTGACTTCTAAAACAGATACTCAGTGTCCAAACTCATTTTTAAAAACTATGATTAACTTAAGTACTTGGGCTTATTTATGGCTAAAAATGATGACTGTCATCTTGAGTCATAAAACATCTACATCACTGTCAAATGTAATTTTTTTTTTTATTCTATCATTCATTCTGGCTGCACTCTTGTAACTAATTAGTAACTACTCCAGAGAGAGGCATGAGTCCCCATTCAATCCTCAGACGAGCAATTCAAGCTGCTTATAAGCAACCACATACAGACACACATGCACAAACTTTAGGTTGCTTTCAACATTTAAAATTTTGGTGAGGGGAACCAGAATATGCAGGGAAAAGGCAAACAGTTTTTAACTATGTATGTAGCACCTGTTTTGTACAGCTCAGTGGCTCCTTTGAAGAAGCGTGGCAGCGCAGCCTCCAGCATCATGACAAAGTCCTCCAGCTCCTCTGTTACTCCGACCAGCATGTACTCGTTCACCAGGTTGTATTTGGCCTGCTCCAGAGCCCACTGGCTTCCCACGTTCCTGAACAGAGATCATGTTCATTTTATATTACTCTTCTGCTGGATGTTAAATGGTTGGATAGAGCAAAAATGGAGAGGAGGAGCAGCATTAAATGTGATTCAGCAGAGGAGAACTGAAAGGTACAGAGAGACAGGAAGAATGATTAAGAGAGATGTGAACTGAGTCCAGAGAGGGTTGAGGCACCAGGAAGCACAAAGCAGAGCAGAAGACTAAATTAAAGCTAGTGGCAGGTGTTGTCGTTATCAGGAAATTAAAAAATGGGGAAGGAAGTAGATTGTTTAAATTTATAAAGTAACTTTTTGGCTAAGCTTTATTAAACACAGCATTAGAGGACTAGCAGCAACTTCACCCTGTTTAATGTTTCCAAGGTCCTTTCAACTACTGCTAGTGTACCGCAGTGAACTAAATCACAGGCACTTAGACCTTCAGTCAGTAACCTGATTGAAGAGGGCAGATGGTTAAAATATGGCAGGCAGAGTCAAGGAGAGCTTAAGGAGGGTGAGCGAAGGGAGAGAGACTGATATGACTTGTCATGTAGAGAGAATGGGTTAAGGCTGAGAGATACAGTTGGCTATATCCTCTGTGTTTTGTTATTTCCAAAACGCTCCACAAAAAGGACCGGGCCGGTCCATCTCTCAATACTTGACAACTTTCCTACCTCCTCATTGGCGATAGCCACAGCCAGAGGCATAATGTTTTCAGGTTGTCAGTCCTCCCATATGTCCATCTGTACATCCTTCTGTCCAATTTTTGTTAAAGTATTATGTCAGGAATGCTTTGAGGGAATTTCTACTAATTTGGCACAAGTGTTCACTTGGACTCTAGAATGAACTGATTAGATTTTGGTGGTCAAAGGTCACTGTGACCTCACGTTCATCCCATGCCCATGAATTTGACTGGCTGGTGGAGTCATATGACCACAAAGTAGTTTTAAAGTGAAACTATATTAACTATAATTACCATTTCACAGTTGTATGCCTCCACCAACCAGTCAAATTCACGGGACTGGAACAGACATGAGGGCACCACTGACCATCAAAATCTAATCAGTTCATTTTTGAGTCAAAGTGGATGTTTGTGCCAAATTTGAAGAAATTCCCCTCCGGGTGTTTCTGACATACCATGTTCCTAAGAATGAATGGCCGAACAGACAACCCGAAAACGTGGTGCCTTTATCTTGATTACTCGTTGTACATGCACATTGAGAGCCACTATACCAGAGTCATATTCTTCATGTGGCCAATAGAACTGATTATGATTCATTTTAAATATTAGCACAAAAACTCAAGTGACATGGTCGATAAGTCCCAACTCAGCAATCTCTGAAAGTGGTACAGCATCAGGCGTTTCCATACATACCAGCATTCAGAGTAGTGACCACAAAAAAAAGGGATCTGGAGCCAGAGCTTCTCGGGGGCACAGTCTGAGCCGCCAGCTGACACACATTCATCAAATGTCTGAAACACAAACACAGTGCATGAGCATTTTTGAAGAAAACACTTACTTGTCAAATCAGCTAAAAGTCAAGAGCTTCCCTCTTTGTGTTACTATCACGCCATCGCAAGTCAACAAGGAAGCACTAGGGGGAGACCGAATGACTTTACAGTTCCTACTTGATTTGACTAATGCAGACTGCAGAAGCCTCATATTGAGTGCAGATAAAGATTTTCCTGCAATTCATGTTTATATAAAACAAAGGAAGCAAAAAACAGTTTCAGTGTTCTTGTGGGCACCTGACTACTGATCTAAGACGGGCTTGAAAGACAACTGGCCACTTAAAACAAAAGCATGAAATTAGTTGTGGGTTTCGACCTTCTTGTCTCCTTGCTTCCTGCGTCTTAGGCCGGGGCGATAGTCATCCCCAAAACGCAGAAAGTAGTAATAGGACACCAGCCTTTCAATGGGGTCTCGGATCACGTTTATGTAGATGGGCTTCCTCTTCACCCCAAACCTGAGAGAAACGACAGTGACTAGGTTATAAAACTCAGGGGAAACACAGAACTGATAACCTGCTATTCATGTTGAAACATGCTGACTTTGGAGGACCAGCAATGTGCTACACTCAGATCAGTACATTCCATTGTGTGGCTGAAAGGCTGTGAATGACCACAAGGTGGAGTCAACTACACAAAGGCGCAGCAGAGTCAGTACAGTGCTGCCATTATAAACATGTTAAATGAATGTTACTTTACTTGGTGAAGTCCAGGAAGGAGACGTGCCCGTGGTAGAAAGCCGGCTTCATTTCCCTCCATTCAGTCACATTCTTTACAAACCGCACCTGAACAAACCAATATGATTTTTAGTATAATTACAGTGGCAGGGCTATTAAGTAAACAGGTATTACAAATGAAAGGAGAAACGTATCTTAGAATTGTTAAAGACGCCCTGTGAGTGTGAGTTGTTGCTCTGACCTGGTCCTGTATGGACATGACCGGGTTGTTCTTGGTGGTGTTGATGTGCAGGACGTGGTAGTGGTTCTTCCCACACAGGTCGTAGGCAATGTTGGTGAAAGAGGTGCTGGCCGTCTTGGGTACGCGGTTGTAGATGATGACTATGTCATCTTCGCTGTCAGAGAGCGATGCTGTGGATGAGTCCCGTTCCCGCAGGCTGTCCTGTGTGTGCCGCTGTTCGATCTCTCGTACCTCATGTCTGGCGATGGCTCGTTCTGGAGGGACGACAGGAAGTTAGGAACAGGTGAATTGAGGACATAAAGGTTTTGTGACCTTCAGTGAGTTATTTAAGCAGCTCCAACCAGCCTCAGGAGTGCTGCTCTGAGGCTGAATTTGACCTTTGACTTCCCTGTGGAGCAGAATACAGGAAACAGAAAACTATGAAAAGTACAAGAAAACATTACATGCTTATAAATATCATAGCGTAGACAGGCAGAAATAAAAAAAAAAGTTTAACTCTTGGGTGTCAATGATTTTCTAATCAAGAGCACTACCACCTGTTTTGCTCAGTGTATAAATGTGTCATAACTATTTGGAAATAGCACTCACCTGATGAAGAGCTGACATTCCTGTCACATATTTAGGCTTGAACTTCAACCTGATCCAGTTATCATTAATTACCCCCTCAAAACATCCTGTCCTTGTCAGAGACAACACCACTGTGTGAGAGACTAAACTATAACTTAATTAAAAGTGGATTTCCTTTTCATTGCTTTG